TTGGTCAATGACATGAGACAAAGTATATGTGAACTGCTGTATGAAAAGTGAATTTACTCTGTAAATCTTCACCCAAATCCTAATAATAAAAAAAAAAAAAAATGAAATGAGTGGACTGTAGATTTTAAGTACATGTGGTTTACAGCCACCAAGTGTTATGTTGCTTTCAGTAATTCAAAGGTTAACACAAAAGGATGAAAGTTTTTTTTGCCTTCTTCTCCCATCTCCTCCAAACCATTCCCCCCTTGAAATCCAAAAGGTCATGAGGTCTTGTCAGTGCAAGGCTTTTGCACCTTTCATTTTCATACTCACCCCATTATAAGTAAACTTTAATGGTTTGAGCCAGATTAACTGTCAGTGTTCAAATCCTGGCTCACCATATACTGTCTGTGAGCCTTACTTTTAAGTTCTTTGGGTTTCCATTTCCTCTTTTAGATAGGAATAACAACATCTCTTTACTTCATAGCATTGTTCTGATTTAATGGGTTATTTAAAGTGTTTAGTATACCTCACACATGCATTTAATGTTAATTACTATCACATATATCATGCCTGAATCCTTAAATGAAAATACAAGTGCTACAGTCTATATTTTCTTTAATAGGATCAGGAGGCAGGAGTCTGGCTCCCTATGAGGATTTGAACTGTTTTGAGGTCTATTCTGTATAAAACAGCCTTTGATGAATATGTGATTTGCCAATATTTTCTCTGTGGTTTGACTTTTCATTCTCTTAAGCTTTAAATTTTAATTAAGTCCTATTTATTTATTTAGTGGATCATATTTTTGGTGTATGTCAAAGAACTCTAACCTCAGGCCACAAAAGTTTTTGTTTTTCTCTAATGAATTTGTAGCTTTATATTTTACTTTTAGGTCTACGATTCCATTTTGTGTAAGGTTCTATCATCACAACAATTTACAAATGTGTGTTAAGGTCGATTTGTAGTAAGATTTACGTATTTCATTTCCCAAACTGTCTCTTCACATAGGTAAGTACTGCTAAGTATTGATGGCAATCCTTCAATTCGACTCATAGTGATTTACAATATATGGAAGAAACCCTCCCTGGGTTTCTGAGGCGGTATCTCTAGGGAAGTAGATTGCCCAACCTTCCTTCCAATGAGAGGCTGGTGGGTTTGAACCGCCAGCCTTCTGGTTAGCAGTCAACTGCCTTAGGCACTGTGCCACCAGAGCACCTTAGTTGAAAATCAGATGGAAGCTTTACCATTCAATTAGACTCTTTTGCACTTGTATTGAGGTCTGAAACACACTGTTCAAGCCGTAGTTTGAGCTCAGAAAATACATCTGCTGCAAATATGTGTATGCAACTGTGGTGGCAGTGGGTAAGGCATTTTTCTGGCTGTTAACAGAACGTCAGTGGTTTCAAACTCACCAGCCACTCTGTGGGATGAAGATGAGGAATTCTACTTCCGTAAAGGTTTACAGCCTTGGAAACCCAATGGGGTTGGTATTGACTGTACAGCAGTAGGTTTGGTTGTTTTGGCAAATGTGTGTGGGTATAAAGCTCTCAGTTGTTTTAACTACTGACAGCCCAGGAAGTGTATAAAACAGCCCGACGTTACTTTTAACACAAACATTAGTTGTCATCAAACATAAATTTCAAATACTAGTATTTTGTATTTTTGGTTGTAATTAAGAAACATTTTCAAGTCTAGAGCAAAAGCTAATTTTCAAAGCATTCAGTGTTGGATTAACCGTGATTGAGGGAGGTTCTTCTTATTTAGAAAAATTTGTCTTTGCCTTTAGCTCATACATAAAACTACCAAAACTAACCCATGAATAACATATATGCCTAAACATCTCACAAGTGTAAATGTGTCCACGTAAGCCCTTTTCTGCTCCACATATATTTTTAACACTATCAAGTGTGACACACCTTAGTTCAGTTGTACTGAAATTTTTTCCAACTTCTTTGAAAATATTCTTGCCCATCAAAAGACTTAACAAACTTTTCAGAGAGCCTGCTTCTCTAGTCATTTCTAGGATGACAAACTATCCCAGTCTATCCAGGACTGAGAGGGTTCCCAGAAAGTGGGACTTTCATCATTAAATTCAGAAAGGTACTAGGCAAACTGTGTTAAAATGGTCACCTTAGCACTTCAAACTTGGCACTCTCAAATAAAACCATTCAGCAGTACTACTAACATATGAGCTCATACTGCAAACATTAAGGAAAATCATTCAAAATTTGCCATGTTTTCATATTAATTATTAATGTTGTAGAACTCTTGCTCGACCACAGTGAGTTTGGTTTTGAACTCTTGGTAACATAGTGGTTAAAGTATATGACTATTAACCAAAAAGTTAGCAGTTTGAATCCAACAGCCGTTCTGTGGGAGAAAGAGAAGGCAGTCAGTTTCCATAAGGATATACTGACTTGGAAACCTTATAGGATCGCTGAGTGGGAATCAAATTGATGGCAGGTTTTTGGTTCATTAATGTTGTTTCCGATGTCTCCAACTTTTCAAGTAACTGTTCTGAAAGACTGTTTTAAAATGTTTCTCTGGACAGATTTCTGGTTGCTGTAATCAAACACAATTAACTCACCATTTCCTTGTTTTGCTGACAAACAGCTATTTGGAAACTTTCTTTGGTTGTAGCTTCATTTGCACTTTTTAATAAATTCTGTAATAAGATATCCCATTTAAAATTTTCTGCTGCTTTCCTGAGAGATGGGGATGAGTGTCTAAACTGGTAATGTTAACATATTTTGTATTTAGCACCACTGGAATATCGTTGCAAAATAAACACAATGCTTTGTCATCTATTTTCATAAATAAAATAATCCACAGTCCACTATGGATATCTGAAGTCCCACTTTTCTTATTTGACATGACATGCACGCAGGGGTAATAAAATCCACAGTACCATGATGTGGTACTCAAAATGTGCCAAGTAGCTGCATCACTGCAGCTTAAAGTGCATTAAGCAGTCAATGAGAGCATACGTGTGCTGTTACATCTTACCTCTTATAGCGCAAAAACTGCCAGACAGTATATGAACAAGTGTGGCAGTGTCCCAATAAACCTTTTATATTTTACGTTATATTTTTTCTTTTCCAAATCATTTAAATATGCCTAACCATTCTTAGGAGCTCTGGTAGCGTAGTACCTAAAGCATTTGACTGCTAACCAGAAGGCTGGTGGTTCAAACCACTAGCCACTCCTTGGAAGAAAGTTGGGCAATCTACTTCCGTAGTGATACTGCCTCAGAAACCCAAGGAAGGGTTGCTGTGAGTTGGGTCCGACTCAACGGCACGTAACAATAACAATAAGCCATTCTTAGCCACCTTCTGTCCATAGGACAAACCCCCCTTTCCAGTTAAATTTGGGCCAACTGCCCTAAGATGCCTAACCTGCATTAGTATTTGAGTAAGAAAAAACTTAAAGTGTATTAAACTGAGATTTTGGAACTTATGTTAGGATAATAGAAACCCAATCCTGTCAAGTTACTTCCCGCTCACTGCGACCCTCTAGGAGATAGAACCACCCTATAGGGTTTTCAGGGCTATAAATCTTTATGGAAACATTGCCAAATCATTCTCCAGTGGCTGGCAGGTTTGAACTGTCGACCTTTCAGATAGAGCTGAATGTTTAACCACTGTGCCACCAGAGCTCCTTCATATTAGCCTAACTTATCCTAATTCTACCACCTGGTGTCAGTTTGTCATACTGTGGTAGGCTGTGTGCAGCTATGATGCTGGAAGCTATGCTACCAGGTCACCCATGGTTGATAGGTTTCAGATGCAGACTAAGTAGGAAGAAAGGCCTGATGATGCACTTCTGGAAATTAGCCAACGAAAACCTATGGGTTACAACAAAACATGGTCCAACTTGCTTACTTTCAACAAATCATCAGGAAAGACTAGTGGCTGGAGAGGGACATTGTATTTGTGGAAGATAGGGGCTGGGGAGATAAATGACATCAGAATTAGTCTGTGTGTGGATATGCGCATCTTATGTTTTCTCATAAGATAACCAAAGAGATATCCAGACCCACAAAATTTAGAGATGGTTGAAAAAGGAAGGTAGTTGTTACCCATTCATTTCAACACACACACACTGAACATTTTCTGTATGACAGGTATTAGTCAAAGAGTATATTCCACCATCTACATTAATTTAATTTTGTTTGTATTTTATATTACAAGGCCAGTGTTTTATATTAAAGACTTCTCAATTATTGGCTGAAAAAATGCTCGGTAGCAATGGATATTAATTTAGTGTAATTAACACAAAACTACATTTCAATGCATTATAAACTTAATAAATAGAAGGCAAAACCCCACTTGTTTCACTTGCATACAAATAAATGAAGGAAATTTATTTGGCCATTTTTTAAATAGTAACTAAGGACAGCTATGAAACATGTAAATGAGAGGAGACTAACAGGGCAGAGTCAGCACGACCACTGCAAGCTCCATGTATGTCAATAAGGGTAGGCAAGCCAGAATTACTGACTGCTTTTGCTTGAACCAATGTTTTTCCTCAAAAAATTGTGCCAATACCTGTATATCTCTATCTCTCCACCTAGTAAAATACAGAATTGGCTCTAGTAACAAAAACACCCATTTTTCAGAAGAAACATTATACATAATACATTCAGAATCACTGTTTGCTTCTTCTTCTTCTTCTTTTTTTTCCTGAACGTATAGGTGTTTGAGCCTCTTGTATTTCTTCTTTTATATCAAGTACAGGCTGTTTAAAAGTGATTTCATTATCTTCATCATCATCATTCATTTCAGCCACTTCAGATTTTCGTCTCTCCAAAAATGTTGGCGTACAAACTGGTGTGGAGCCCTGGATTCAACAAGTATAAGATTATATATTGCATATAAACGTGGGGTGCTGTTAGGAATGACTTTACCCAAAAATACCACCTCCCCTCTACTTCTGTAACTTGTGCTAAGCCTTTTTTAAGCCAGAGGCTTTCTTTTGGTGATACAATCAATCACACTAACGCAGAGCTCAGACACACATCAAACCTTGTATGGAAATTCAAAACCAGCTGGAATAGGAACTTACTGCATTATAGGGTTTTCAGTAGAAAATTCTAATCTTACATTTATAAATACAGTGGCAAGTCTCATTTCCCTCTGCTGAAAAGGTAAAAATGACAATAAACTCATGACAATCTTTGCTAAGCTCTCCAAACACAATATACCAGAGCAAGGATTTACAGAAAATGTCACATGTCAAGATTACATATAAAAGTCTAACAAACTGGTAATAATTTTGAAAATGCTTTTCATCTTCTAAACTATTTCTATATCTGGTGCCCAGAATAATTAATGAATAATTAAGCAACTTTTCTTGGCTATTCAGTCTTCTCAGGACTGCTAGGAGTGCCAAAAATCTTTTTTTTTTTTTTTCATCATAGAGAAAACCTTAAATAAATTTTAAAAGACCGCACAAACTTGCACATTTATCTGTTACAATAGGCTTGAATATATTTTACTATTGCTCTGTCTTTAATACCTAGTGTGTAACAGGATAAATAAAATTTTACCTGGTTATTCATAGAATTCTGAAGGTCAGTATTTGAAGCACTTCCTTTTTTCTTTTTTGGTAAAATCTTAAGTAAACAAAGAAATAATAAACTTTTAGTTTCACATTTTTTTTCATGCACTGTTATATCCTCATACGTATTATTAGTAAAGCCTCCCTAAAGAACTGAGCACTTAGAAACTTGAAAGTACAATGAATGGTCTTAAGTAACAAGCAAAACAAGAGGGGATCAATTGAGGAACCCTTCCAGAGCTTGGAAGAGAAGGACAAAATATTACCATACTGAATCCTGAATCAAGAAGGTGAAACTAGGAAGAATGTGAAAATGCAGGCCCTGGAAGTGGCCTGTCCTGGCTAAGTTTAAGACCGTGACAATGAAGTAGGCCTGCTTTCCTACAATCAAGCTACAAGACTAACAGTTCTTGGTTGCCTGCTTTCAAGCTTCACTGATCCAGCTTCTAAATGATTCATGAACTAACTAGGGTTGAAGGCCTGTGACACAATGGTTTAGTATTGTTAAAGACCATGTCTGGGATTTAGACAAGTATGAACCATCAAGAACTGGGTCAAACAAGGCTATTTCAGTCTACTAGCCATATCTTTGCAGCCTTCAATCCTGTTTAGTAGCAAGAGATTCTTACTGTAAATGCTAGAAAACTTTCCTTACTGTGACAGACAGAGGAAAGACTCAGAAAGATCTCTTTATTCAACAAGAAAAGAAATAGGAACTGGGTGAAAATCTGTGCTAACTCATCTTCATGTAAAAAGGCTTACTATATTTCAACCCTACTCATATAATTCATGGAACTGATACTTACTGGTTAATTCTGATTATGCATTTTAGTAATATTTATAATTTAAAAGAATATGGAAAAAAAAGACTAGGAAAATGTAATCTTATGTGCTATCCAGTTGGCTGTAACTCACATCAACCTTATGTACAACAAAATGAAACACTGCCTAGTCTTGCACTGTCCTCATAATCATAATATGCTCAAGCCCACTGTGGCAGCTACTGTGCCACTCCATCTCATTGGGGGTCTTCCTCTTTTTGGCTGACCCTCACTTTAACAAGCACAGTTTCTTTCTCCAAGGAGTGGTCCCTCCTGGTAACATGTCTAAAGCACATGAGATAAAGTCTCACTATTCACCCTTCTAAGGAGCATTCTGGCTAAACTTCCGTATGGCAGTCCATGGTATATTCAATATTCTTTACCAATATCATGACTCAAATGCATCAATTCTCCTATGGTCTTCTTTATTCATTGTCCAGCTTTCACATGCGTATAAGGTGACTGAAAATGCCATGGGTTGGGTCAGGGGCACTCAAATTGACATCTTTGCTTTTTAACACTTTAAAGAGGTCTTTTGCAGTAGGGTTGCCCAATGCAATAAATATGTCATTTGATTCTTGGCTGCTGCTTTTCCTGTGGATCCAAGTAAAATGAAATACTTGACAACATCAGTATTTTCTCCATTTATCATGATGCTGCTTATCTAGTTGTGAAGATGTTTTACTTTGAACTGTAATCCATACATAAGGCTATATGTAGTCTTTGATCTTCATCAGCAACTGCTTCATATCTTCTTTGAAGATATGAAGACACCAAGCAAGTCAGTGACATCTGCACATCACAGGTTGTTAATGAGTCTTCTTCCAATCCTGATGCCACGTTCTTCTTCATACAGTCCAACTACTATGATTTGTACTCAGCACACAGACTGATTATGGATGATTAAAGTATATAATCCTGACACATACCCTTCCTGATTTTAAACCATTATCCCCTTGTTCTACTCAAATGACTGCTTCTAGAACTATCTGTAGGTTTCACATGAGCACAATTAAGTGTTCTGAAATTCTCATTCTTCACAATGTTATCCATAATCTATGATCCACACAAGTGCATGCCTTTGCACTCAATAAAACACAGGTAAACATTTTTCTGGTATTCTCTGCTTTCAGCCAAAATCCATCTGACATCAGCAATGATATCCCTCATTCCACCTTCTGAATCCAGCATAAATTTCTAGCAGTTTCCTGTTGATATAATGGTGCAAGCCTTTTTAAATTAGTTTTGGCAAAATTTTGCTTGTGAGTAATATTAATGATATTGTTTGGTAATTTTCGCATTCTGTTGGATCGCCTTTCTTTGGAATGGGCATGAATATGAATCTCTTATAGTTGGTTTGCCAGGTAGGTGTCTTCCAAGTTTCTTGGCATAGATGAGTGAGTACTTTCAGTTGCATCTGTTTGTTGAAACATCTCAATTGGTATTTTGTCAATTCCTGAAGCCTTGTTTCTTGCCAATGCCTTCAGTGCACCTTGGACTTTTTCCTTGAATACCGTCAGTTCTTGGTTGTAAAGTACCTTCTGAAATGGTTGAATGTTGACCAGTTCTTTTTGGTACGGTGTCTCTTTCATCTTCTTTTGACATTCAGTATTTTGCAGTTAAATTATTTTGTCCATAGAATCCTTCAATATTACAACTTAAGGCCTGAATTTTATCTTCAGTTCTTTCAACTTCAGAATTGCTGGGCATGTTCTTTCTGTTTGGATTTCCAAGTCTGCATGTTTCATTGTAGTATTTTACCTTCCTTCTCAAACTACCCTTTGAAATCTTCTTTTCAGCTTTTACTTCAACATTTCTTCCATTCACTTTTGCTACTCTACATTCAACAGCAAGTTTCAGAGCCTCTTCTGACACCTACTTTCGTTTTTTTTTTCCCCTATTGTTTTAAATGATCTTTTGGTTTATTCATGCACAATGTCCTTGATGTCATCTTACAACTCATCTGGTCTTCAGGCATTAGTGTTCAATACGTCAAGTCTGTTCTTCAGACGATCTCTTATTTCAGGTGGGATATACTCAAGGTCATATTTTGACTCTTGTGCACTGTTTGGCTTCAATTTGAACTTGCACATGAGCAACTGATAGTCTGTTCTGCAGTCAGCCCCTGGCCTTATTCTGACTGATGATGCTGAGTTTCTCCATCGTCTTTCCACAGATGTAGCCACTTTGTTTCCTGTATATTTCATCTGGTGAGGTCCCCATGTATTAGTCACCATTTGTGTTGCTCAAAAAGAAGAGATTTGTAATGAATAAGTTGTTGGTCTTGCAAAATTCTATCATGTGACATCCTGTGTGGTTTCTATCACCAAGGTTCGCTCTATTTTCTAACTACTGATCCTTCTTTGTTTCCAACTTTCACATTCCAATCACTAGTAATTTTCAATGCATCTTGATTGTTTATTTAATCAGTTTCAGACTACAGACATTGGTAAATGTCTTCAATTGCTTCATCTTTGGCATAAGTGGCTGGTGCATAAATCTGGTCTTCTTTGTAGGTGTATGGATATTATCCTATCACCGACAGCATTGTACTTCAGGAAAAATGATGTTCTTTTTGATGATGAATTTGAGGTCATTCCTCCTCATAGCTGTCATTTCTGGCATACCAGGACCATGATTCTTCAATTCAAAATGACATTTGATTGTTGTTATTAAGTACTGTTTAGTTGGGTGTGACTCAGTGACCCTATGTACAAGAGAATAAAAACAGAGCCCAGTCCTGTGCCATCCTCACAATCATTGCCATGCCTGAGCCCACTGTTGTACCAAATGTTTCAATCCATCTTGCTGTCTTCCCCTTGGAAGATATTGATGTTCATGCGTTCCATTTCATTTTTAACAAAATTGAATATTCCTAGTTTCATACTCAATGCATTTCATGTTCTGATTATTAATGACTGTTTGGTGCTGTTTCTTCTCATTTTGAGTCATGCTACACCAGCAAATGAAGGTCCCACAAGCTTGACTTCATCTATGTAAAGTTGACTATTTTGAGAAGGCTGTTCTCTTCATCAGTCTTATTTTAAGCACCATCCAACCTCAGGCACTCATCTTCCAGCACTATTATCAGACAATGTTCTGCCACTATTCTAAGTTTTCAATGGCCAAGTTTTTTAGAAGTAGATCACCAGGTTCTTCTTAGCCTGTGCTAGTTTGGAAGCTCTACTAAAACCTGTCCACCATAGGTGACCCTGCTGGGATTTATCTGATAACCTCTTTAAGGAGTTCCCTTTTCTGCATAATGGAAATAAAAAATTTGCTCTGACAAGGTTTTAGGAAGAACCTACAATGCAAATCAGTGTTTCACAAATTTAGTCAAAACCAGGTATGTGATAAGGCTAGATAATTTATGTGATTATAAAGGATAATACACACACACACACAAAAAAAACTGTTGTTGCCACTGAGTCAATTACGACTCATGGAGCCCTCATGTTAGAAGTAGTAAAGTACAATCCCTCCCACAAAAAAACATTTCATGAATGAATATTTACCAATGGAGGAAAATTGTAAACAATTCCCTTTTTAGCTAATTTCTTCCTGAGTAATTTTTCTTTGTTTTTAAATCGCTTCTCCATCCGTAGCTTTTCTTTAAGTGTCCGTTTCTTATTATACCGTTTCACTGCTGGATAGGATGGCTTTGAAAATGGAACATCCCAGTCTTTGAAAAGTTCTTCATGTATTTTTTCAGGTGGCATAAAATCACCTATATTAAAAAAAAAAAAAAAAAAATTCAACTAAGTGGAAGGAGGGAATTTTACCATTAACTTCAATATAATTCTCCATAGCTTATAACCATGATAACATGGCTAATTTATTAGCAGGATAAATCAGTCAATTCTACCCTAATGGAGTCAATGTTTTACAGCAGAAGCAACAAAATTTGAGTTCAGACTGTTTTTGCTAAATTGTCAGAACTCAGATTTGACATCTCATTTACCTCACATAAGTCACAGAACCTTACAGGTCACCCAACTGGCTAACTTCCTCCTGGTAGTAGTCACATTTTAATGCTTGCAGGATCCTGGCCTTAGGCAGGCTGTTTGGATTTTCTCTTACAGCAAGGGGAGCAGCTTAAGTCAATGTAGGTGAGTCTGCGTACCTGCAGTGGCCACACTCTGCTCATGTACATATTGTCGCTTTAGGCACTGGGATCAGTTGACGATGTTCTCCATACTTTCTGAAAACACCTAGTCAATGGCTTTTCTTGCTTCGTTCTGAAGGACTAACTTCTAATGTGGAGTCCCTGGGTGGCGCAAATGGTAAGTGCTCAATAACTAGCCCAAATATTAACAGTTCAAACCCAGCCAGAAGTGCCTTCAAAGATAGGCCTGATGACAGGCTTCCAAAAGGTTATAGCTTTCAAAACACTGTGGAGATTCTAGAAAGATGGCAGTTTATACAGATCACTGCTCTGACCCTCACCCACAAATACAAGGGAAAGGTGCTTGGCCTCGAGGGGCTCTGATTAGGGAGCAGAGGACAACAGCAAGGAACTGTGGACAGACAAGAATCAGTGAATCAACAATAAGTTGCATACAATAGGAGAACCATTCTTCTACAGACCCTGTCCCTCCCCCAGCCATTCAAGCTGCTGGGAACTGAGGAGGTGGCCCTGGCCATAAAAAGCCTGCCTTGTGGATTGGTACACCGTGTGATCCTCAGCCTATACAACTATGAGACCAGAAGAACTAGATGGTGACCATCTACCACTGTCAACCACACGGAGGGAGATCTATGTAGGAGATCCTGGATAGAGTGCAAGAACAATGTGGAAGAAAACTCAAAATCTAAAAAGAATAAAAAAAGGGACTAGGTTTGATGGTCTGAAAGAGCCTGATGGAACCCCTGAGACTGTGGTCCCTAGCTGTCCTTCAGGTCAGGAATTGAACCTACTCCTATGGCTTCTAGCCAAACAAAAGACAGGCATATGAGCTGAATGTTTACATTAGGTAGATACACTCCCTGGAGAAATCAATCATGGGAGAACAGAAGGACTGTGTATGCACAGGGAGACAGCTCGGGGGGCAGGAGTACACGGGAGGGAAGAACAGAGGGAAGATGTGGCTGTGAGGAGGAAGTGGAAGGAGAGCTACTGCATTGTGGGAGATTTCAGTCAACGTAATTAGACAAAGTATATGTGAACTGCGTGAACTGCTAGACAGAAGATGAATTTGCTTTGTAAACTTCACCCAGTCACAATAAAAATTAAAAAAAAAAAAAAAAGCCTGCCTTGCTAAACACCATGCCTTTTGCCTGTCTAAAGGGGCAGGACCTCAAGCTTCTGCTCTAAAATCAACAAGGCAAACCTCCCAAGGGGTCTGTCAGAGTGTGCCAGCACTGCTCCAACTCAGACATTGTCAGCTACTAGGCTGTTGTAAATTGCTAAAGAAAGCTCCCTCCATTGGAGTCTGCTCCCATAGTCTATATGCCTCCCTGTGCACCCCACAGCTCAAGCCTCTAAAACCAACAGGGCGGACATCCTTGGGGGTCAGTTTGGGTCTGTCTGTCCCCCTTCCACTCAGCACTTAGGCTTGCTGACTGTACCAAGGAAGCAGGCGTTGTGAGTGGAGGCTACACCCACAGCCAATATTCTGGAGGCTGGGCAGTGATGGTGCTCTAATAGGAATAAGGCAGACTGTTCAGCAGAGCCATCACGAGGGTCACCTAAGTGCAGACTGCTCCCCCAACTACCACAGGGCCACTGGGGCTATGAAACTAGTAAGATAGATGTGTCAGACGTCCTTCTGGGGAATGCCAGCCCTTTTTCCTTCTAATAAAGAGGAAAGTGGCATGTGCTTCCCCTGAAGCCAGCTCAGACATAAGAGGCCCCCCCACAAATACAAAAGTCAGGTTTCGGCGAAACCAAAGGTAAAACAGAACAAAAACTGCAGGGCAACACCCAGGGGGCTTGCAGGGTGTGGGCTTTCTGACTGAGCAGAGGCAGCAGTAAAAAGCAGAGAGAGGGGCTGCACACCCCCTGGTGGATAGACTGATTCATGCCCAACATCCTGGCTTAGTTATGGTGCCCTCTGGTGGACAACTGATCACAGTGTGTTTAGGAGATAATGAAAGTTGAAAATTAAGATCTGGAATTGTCAAATCCTAATAAATCAGGTACAGTAAAGGAACTATCACAGAGAGGAAGAAGAAATAGTACAGAAGAGCTGAAGGGTCTGCCCACCTGAGAGCTTTTTTCAGAAAGTATTGTGAGCAAAAACACTAAATATTGGGGAGAACTGAGAAAGTTAACATCCTTGAAAATTCCAGTGCTCCAACAACAAAAAAATAATCACAAAACACACCAAGACAAAGAAACAATGACCCATTCAAATGAACATGACAAAAGGAGTGAAATCACATCTACAGAAGATGGAATTAGGAAAAGAATGGAATAATCCAAAATTAAACATTATTAAAGAGCTAAGGGAAAACAAAGATCAGAAAAACAGTGCACAAACAAAATTCTATGGCACACACATGGGGTCACCAGGAATCACAATCAACTCAGCCAACAAGCCTCTAATCTGGTGTTGTCACTCCTGTTCTACTCCTCACGGATTTTCTTTTAGAGTTAAGAGTTAAAGTCAAATCACTTAGGCTGGCTCTTAACTGTGATCCTCTACCTTTGATGTTATTCTATCTAGAACCTGTTAATAGGTTCCCAATTGCCTGCAGAATAAATTAAAAATTCCCTAACTTTGACTAATTAGACCTTCAATAATCTGACCTGCAGCCTGCTTCCTGAACAGCCAGCCTTCTGGTTAGCAGTCAAATGCGTTAGGCGCTACACCACCAGAGCTCCTTCTGCCTTGTCTCTCTCATTCATTTCTCCTCACATTCCCTCCCAGGCAAATACTTATCAGTCACCTTGGGCTTTGTACTTGCTGTCCCCTCAGCCAGGCTCAATCCCCTTTACCTGGCTCACTTCTATTAAAAATCTCCAGGTTTCAACTTAAGTATTACTTCCTTAGTGAAGCCTTCCATATTCTATTAAGTATGGGTAACTGCTCTTCCTATGTGTGCCCAAACTAACTTGTCCCGATTCCATCTTAGCACAGTTAAGTCCTTAACTCTAAAGATTTAAAAATTCTAATTAGAATCTACCTGGAAAATGCACTCAAATTCTTGCACCATTCCTTAATAGTTATCACCCCAGAGACAAAGCAGGGTGTCCAAGCAGCTAGATGATCTTTCACACCAGTCACCCAATAGTAGTAGGCATCTACTTAACCTTAAGGGTAAGAATACTTACATTTCAAGAGTCTTTCACCAAAAAGGTAGTTGTTCCTTGTTTCAGCAACTATCTTGGCAACATCATCAGATTCAAACTCCACAAAGGCATAGCCTTTGCTATTTCCAGTCTATAATGGAAAATCCACCACAAGATATAGGCCAAATAAATTTTAATGCATTATTAAACTCATTTTTAGCTACTCATTTAAATAATGTATATTAGCCTAATTATCAAATAACACTGACATTTTAAATTTCAACTTCAATTTATAAGTCTGGAGTTAGCTATGGGAGAAGATTCAAAACACTCTGAACACATAGTCGATTTTCAAGTATTCCTAGAATTTTGGTTACATATGGTAAACACATGATGACTGTGGCTGAAATTTTTCAGTAGCAACACCTCATTGTATAAAGGAAGTAGTAGGGCTTCTCACAGTCCTTTACTCGTTATCTGTTTCACTGAAGGGTATATTATCCCTGTATTTCCAACAGCTAGGTGGTATGACGCTTCACAACAAAATGTAGGAAAATATCATTACTATTCTGTGGGTAAGCACTGAGAAGAAACTATTTCACCAGTATCTCCCAGCTAAATAAAAAAACACTGCAGTGACTGGCTGCCTTCCCACATGGGAGCAAAGGATCTGAACAACACTCTGAGACGCACCTTTTCAGCCCCAAACTATCTTAGTTAACAACTGTGTGAGTTCTGGAGTCAAAATGCCCAGGTTTGGATCCTGCTGACAGTTACTTGAGTATATAACATTTAAGCTTTCTGAGCCTTTTTTTAATCTACAAAATGGATGACAAAATAACCATTCTCATAGGGTTGCTGTAAAGATAGGGTGTTAATACACAAAAGCTCAACATGGTGTCAATTAAGTACTCAGTAACTGTTACCAATTGGGAGTTCTGGTGGTTAGTACCTAAGTACTGCTAACCAGATTGGTATCTGCTAACCAGATGGCTGGTGGTTCAAACCTACCAGCCACTCCTTGGAAAGAAGATTAGGCAATCTACTTCCCTAAGGATATTGCCTCAGAAGCCCAAGGAGGGATCGCTATGAGTCGGATCCAACTCCAGGGCAGTGAGTTTGATTTTTGGTTAACTGTTACCAATTATTAGGGACAACTAGAAATATTTCACAATCTTGCATTAAATATTTTTAGATCAAAATAAAAATTGGTGATGTGATTCTAGAGATAACTTAAAAACTGCATGGCTCAACAGATTAGGAATCAAGAGGCTCATTTCTAGCACCTGCTGTGGCATAACTGGCAACTGGGGCAGGTTCACAATTTTGCGTCTCAGTTTACTTCTCTGCAAAATAATTTTCATAAAAATTTAAATGCCCAAAGTCCTATTTCTCAATCCCAACTCTCAACAGACGGGGGAAGACAGTGGACAAAACAGAAGGGAAACACTTAAATCCAACACAACCTACCACCACTGTGAACAGATACAAACTTTTGAAAAGTGATTTGAAAATATATTTCACATGGCAAAATATTTATATTTTACCCAGTAATTTCAAGAATGCTGGACACACCAAATAGTCTTACATGTGAAAATGCTCTGTAAACTGTCAAAAGATTATATATACACACATTTGAAAAATAGGATAAATAACATAATTCAAATTTTAAAATGTTACCTTTTTACTTCTGGACAATTTGAGTCTTGTAACAGTGCCAAACTGGGAGAAATATGCCTTGAGTTGGGGTTCAAAAAGGCCTCGAGGTATGTGGCCAACATAGACTACTCCAGGGGTAAGTTTCTCTTGCTAGAAATATAAAGATCAATAAATGCATATACTCTTAAATAAATAAATAACACACAATGCAATAAAATCCCTAGCTAAAGACTCCAAGAACTACCCTGTATTTCCACTTATCACAACTGTAATTGAAAATTTACCGGCTTAACGCGTATCTCCGCACTAGAACAATCGTCAAGCACAGCGCAATATAAGAGCTAAAAACTCTTATGTTCAATAGATAAGCAAATAATTCTTTGAACATGTAATTTTAAATTTCCTGCCTAGAGAACTTTGCATAAATGTTTCTTTCAATTTTGGGGGCAGATCACTCACTTGCACATAATCGAAGAAATTCGAGAAGTTTGCTAACGTTCACAATGAAGACTGAGCTTTCAGCATCTGTTATCGCATACTAACATTGTAGAACAAAAACTTTATTAGTTTTCCACCCGCGTATTTTACGCTACAATCGAACCAAATATAAACTTCCTGTCAGGCACCCTAGTCATGGAACTTCGCAAAAACTATCTTCTAAAAGAACTCCAAAATCACAACATGTCTCGGAACCCCGTTTTCGAGGGCAAAGCGTTAAGCGTGACAGCTCTAACCCCACGTTAATCTGAGGCGTGGTAGGGCCATTCCCACCGGCGGGCATTCTCTTCTCCTCTTGCGTCACCCCAATTCTGCCCGATACCTCCTAAAGATGACCCAAAGGCCAACCACCGTAAACCTCCACGTAGCAGGGAAACTTTGACCCGTGCCACTAGAGAGAGTCATTCCGCTTACCAGCTCTTGGGGGGCAGTTCCTAATTAAAAGTCAGGCGCTTTCTTGGGGAGACCCTGGGGAGCAGATGCGAGAGGGCCAGGCGCGCCTGGGCAAACTCGGGCTAGGGTGCGCGCGAATTCTGAGGCGCCCCCAGACAGTCCATCGCCCCTACTCGGAATCTAGGCCGCGGCGGCCGCTCACCTGGGCTGCGCGCTGGCGGACTTGCGCCACTTGCTTCTGAAACTTGGCCTGCTCCTGCGGGTTCAGCGACAGGAGCGGCTTAGCCGGACCAGAAAAAGCCGCCATTCGCCAAATTCCAAAACCGAAGCTCCCCACGCGGAGCTCCCGGAAACGCAGGCAGGCCACTCCCTCAGAGAGGAAGTGAAGGGGCTAGGGGGCGGGGAATGCGTGGGGGCGAATCAAGATGTGTGGCTCCGCACGAGGGGCGGGGTACGTGTCCGAGCAGTAGAGAAGTGGGGCGTTTGCACGGTTGGGATATATAGGTGGTTACTTGTTCACATTTACTTCGTGGCTGCACGATTTTCAAGAGGAATTAAAAATAAACTCCAAAAACATATCCTTGCCCTTTCTGAAATATTCCTTCATTTTTTTATTTATATTTTTAGAGCAAGAAAATCTTTATACTTACTCAAAATCACACACAACTCATCCATTTTCCCATGGTGAGTAAAAAAAAAACAAAAACAGTTAAACTGAACAGATATACTAAACAGCATGTTTCCTATTTTGGCTCTTCTGCATTAATAATCAGAGAAAATCCTTTGTTGTTTTCATCTTGGTTTGAACTTAATGGTATCAGTATCGTTTTCTTCCTCTGAATTTTTATCTGTAACCCAACATTGACCTTTCACATTCAAAAAATAACTATTTCAAAGCTTTGCAGCTTCTTTCCTTCAAAGATTGCGGAAGAGTTTCCCTTCCTGGACCAGCACACAGTCCGACTGCAGTAGACTTGTGCCTAAGTCCTCTTCACGTCAGCACCTGTGCGGCCCTCTGGCTTGTCCGCAATATCAGGTGTGACTCTTGACGCCCATCTGTTCTGGCTCCTATCCTTCACAGCCTGCCTCACGCGTTTATTCTTTCTTTTTTTACTCATTTGTGTTTTTGAGCCCCCAGTACATTTTCCTGTGTTGCTGCCTTAGGGAACCTAGAGCTTGGAGGGTGGAGGTGGATAAGGAAACTTGTGGGAGAGGGGGAGCTGCTCAGAGACACGTGACATTGGGTGACCAGGAGGTCTTCCTGCAGGAGTCATGTGAGTTGAGATTTGAGGCTGCCGTTCAGGCGTGCAGGTCCCGCGCACAGCACGGTGTTTATGGGGCTGGCATCCACAGTGTGATTGGAGTCAAGGAAAGAGGGAAGGGTAGGAGATGGGAAGGGCGAGGTGGGGCAGGAGGGCTTTCTGGTGAAGGTATAAAGTTTGGTCTGATTTTGAACACAAAGGGATGTGAAAGTTTTAAGCAAGGCTGTGGCTGTTCTGATTTATATTTTAAAATTTGTTGTTAGCTGCCATCAAATCAGCAATGTTCCATTGCAGTTAGGACTGTTGTGATCCATAGGGTTTTCACTGATTTTCTGAAGTAGGTGGCCAGGTCTTTCTTCCTAGTCAATCTTAGTCTGAAAGCTCTGCTGAAATCTGTTCAGCATCACTTACAAAAGAGTGGTGGCTGGATATGAGGTGCATTGGCCTACCCTAGTAAGTATTCTAGAGAATAGATTACAGGAAGCAGAGAAAGAAAGAAAGCTAAGCAAAGGTCCAGGTAGAAATGTTCTCTGGATAGGGGGCTTTGTACTCTGGAACCAGTGCTGGAACATGGATGGGAAATCTAGTGAAAGTGGCAGAGTGGGGAGGGAGATCACATAGGGAGGGCCAGCTGCTTCCTTTGGGAGCTCCCACTGCTTCTTTCCCTTCAGACACCCTCAATACTCAGCTCCATGTCCCCCTCAGGGAAGGCATCCAGACCTGTGCTGGGACCAGCAGCTCCTTTTGGATGTTCTCTGTCACCACTGTGCTTGCATGGACAAACTGGCTTTCAGGGTGAAAACTGCAGAGAGCAGTTTCATTCTTCCTCAGGGATGCTCCTTCTCTGAGCTTGCACCTTCTCTCCTTGGATGAAATCTTGGAGAGACCTCATCAGCCCAGTGGCTTTTCACATATTAGCAAATAGAATAATTTCCCAGGTTTTTAAACTCTAATGTCAAATGGCTCCTATCCTGAGTCTACCTAGACAGATAAATTCTTGTCTCCATCTTCTTCTTTATGCCCCAGCTACGGCTTCAGACACCTCCAGGGTTGGGACAGAAGACAGCAGAAGGAGGGGAAATAAGGAGTTACTTGACTGGCCGGTGCCAGGTGCCCTAGCAGTTTCTGGCTGCTGGCTCTTTCTCTACTTTTTCTAGTTGTGGTGAAGTATACAACAAAACAAGACACTCTGACAGCACAATGCCTAAGGCATTTGACTACTAACCAGAAGGTTGGTGGTTTAAAACCACCAGGCCACTCTGCGAAAGGAAGACCAGGCAATCTACTTCTGTAAAGATGTACCACGTTGGAAACCCAGTGGGGGTCGCTATGAGTCGGAATCAACTCAATGACAGTGAATTTGGCTTTTTTTGGGGGTTTATATAACAAAACATTTGCTTTTTCAACCATTTTTACATGTACAATTCAGTTATTAACTATGTTTGACATGTTATGCAACCATCACCATTATCTGTTTCCAATTTTTATCATCACCCTTAGCAGAAACTCAGTGCCCCTTAAACAATAGTTCCCCCTTTTCCCCTCCCAGCCACTCCTGGTAACCACTTACCTATTACGGTCTCCATGCATTTGCCCATCCTAGTTATTTCATCTAAGTGGGGTCATATGTTTATCATTCTCTGTCTGATTTATTTCACTCTCTGAGCACACTTTTGAGGTGTTCCCTGCCTGGCTGTTCATGGCCCAGCTCACCTGCTACCACCTGCTGAGTGCTACACTACTCTCAGGAGCTTTTCTTGGGAAAGTCTTTCTAAGCTAAACCTGGCCTTCCCCACACAGCCTTTGCTCTCTTTGTGCTGCTGCTAGACAGCCCAATGTTTGGTGAATGAGGCAGGCACAGATTCCTGTATCCTCTAAATTCCAGAGAATGAGGACCAAGCTCTGTAGTTCTCTGGAAGACCTTCCCTTGGTATGTGTGTATGTGTGTGTGAGACACCCCCTCCTTTTCCTGGATGGGACTTGAGAGTCATCACAGCTGCTATGGGAGCATGGGAACAAAGAAGGAAGACAGCACATTGACAGTTCTCTCCCAGGAAATCCTCTTTCCAATTTTCCCACTGTCAAAGACTGAATTGTATCCTCCCATAATATTTGACTAGATCATGAGTCCCAGTATTGTGTGGTTGCCCTCTGTTACTTGATCTTATGTAGTTATCTTCTATTTTGTGATATTCCATTTTATGTGTTATAAATTCTAACCTCTATATGTTATTGAGGCAGGATTAGCATGGGGTGGGTCTTGAGTCACAGCTCTTACAAGAAGAATGACTCAAGTCATACCCTAATTCAAGTACTCAAGCTATACCCTTCAGTCACAACTTTATTTAAGTCTTGTGTGTGTGTGTGTTCAAATCCAGTTTCATTAAAAATATTTGGCAATTATGGTAACAGTACAAAGTCTTTGACTGTGACCACTTGTGATAGTTGGAGCTGTGTGTCCACTCGGCTGACCACAATTCTATCATGATTTCTAGCATCATTTCTGTCACCAAGGCCAAATTTTCCAACTACAGGTGATTCTTCATTTCCAACTTTTGTATTCCAGTCACCAGTGATAATTAACACATCCTGATTGCATGTTTGGTCAATTTTGGACTGCAGAAGCTGATAAAAGTCTTCAATTTCCTTATTTTTGGCTTTGGTAGTTGGTGCATAAATTCGAATAATAGTCATATTAACTGATCTTCTTTGTAGACATATGTATACTATCCTATCACTGGAAGCATTGTACTTCAGGACAGATCCAGAAACATCCTTTGTAATGATGAATGCCATGCCATTCCTCTTCAAATTGTCATTCCCTGCATAGTAGACAACATGGTGGTCTGATTCAAAATGGCCAAAACCAGTCCATTTCAGCTCACTAATGCCTAGGAAGGCTGGCAGTTCAAACCCACCAGCCACTCCTCGGAAGGAAGGTTGGGCAATCCTACTTCTGTAGTGATACTGCCTCGGAAACCCAAGGAGGGGTCGCTATGAGTTGGGGCCGACTCGACGGCAAATAACAACAACAACAACAATGCCTAGGATATCAATCTTTATGCGCTCCATTTTTGACAACTTCCAGTTTTCCTAGATTCATGCTTTGTACATTCCATGTTCTGATTATTAATGGATGTTTGCAGCTATTTCTCCTCAATTTGAGTCATGCCAATGGAGGTCTCGAAAGCTTTACCTTATCCATATCATTAAGGTTGGTTCTACTCTGATGATGCAGCTTTTTCCTGGTCCTGTTTTGAGAGCCTTCCAACCTAAGTGGCTTATTCTCCTGCACTGTATCAGACAATTATTATATTCTTAATTATTCATAAAGTTGCCTAGTAATGTATCAGACAGTGCTTCTCTGCTATTCATAAGGTTTTCCCTGGCCAATTCTTTGAGAAGTGGATGGCCTCCTCCTTCTTCCTAGTCTGTCTCAGTCTGTAAGTTGTTGAAACCTGTGCACTATGTACAACCCTATTGGGTTTGAGACACCAATGGCACAGCCTCAAGCCTCACAGCAACACACCACCACAGTAGGACAAACTGAGAGACAAGTTTGTCTCCCTTAGCTGTTCAAAACCTCTCCACCCTCCCCACCCTCCCCTTACATAGATCCCTGCCTCCTTCCCACCACTTGGGAGGGGTGTGGCCTGGGTCCCTGGCCTTACCTGGATTCTTGCCTGTGCTTCCTCGCTCTGTCCTGTGTCCTCCCCGCCCCCCTCCCCAGCTTTTTCTCTGCTTTCCCACTACTTGGGAGGGCTGTGGTCTGGGTCCCCGGCCTTACCTGGATTCCTGGCCTTACCTGGATCCCTGTCTCTGCTTCCTCACTGTATATATAGTGCCTAAGGCACTTAACTGCTAACCAGAAGGCTGGTGGTTCAAACCCACCACCAATCCTCAGAAGGAAGGTGGGGCAATCTACTTCCGTAGTGATATTGCCTCGGCAACCCAAGGAGGGGTCGCTATGAGTCAGGTCCAACTCATCAGCACATGAAAACAACAACAACAACATGGTAAGCAAGTGAAGCCTATTTTTGCTTGC